TAAAGTTGTCTTTGCTTACTACTTTTATGAGCCTCTGAATCTGAATGCATATAACTGCCATGATACTTTATGGTAAGTGTGCGCGTCATAAAAGTCAGGGCATATTTAGTGAGTGGTAGCCATGATCATTAATCTTCTACTATTTACCTGTCATTATTTTAAGACCCTGACCAGGGATCATTTGACTTTAAACATTTATATTTTGATATAATCTATTTGGTACAGATTCTAAAATTTTTACCACTTGAAAAAAGGTTCTGATAAAAGTTCATAAAAGGCTTGTACCCATGACTTAGTACCTAGGAAAATGTTACTGAGTAAGTTATGAATTCATGCTTGGCCAAATCTTTATCTTTTGTAGACTTAAAAAAAAATTACCCCTTGCAACTGAAGAATTCAGATAAAATTTAGTTGCAGGAAGAATTGCATTCAGAACAGTCCCTCTCAGTAAAATCTACATGTAACTACTTTGTGTTATATCCACTGGGGTTATTAGAAGATACTGCCAGTTAGAAAACAGTGTTAAGAAATATTACGAAAAGGCTAACAGTATTTTCTGGAAAAGACACTGTTTGACCTTTGTAGAGGAGATTCTGCATGCGAGTTATCTTAACATTATCTCTGTGAATGATTTAAATATAATTAAGTTTCATGTTAATTTCCTGTTACCAAGCTATTCTTTTATTTTGACTTTGGCATTCACTTCTTTAAAATAAAATGCTGTGCCAATATGTGGAAAAAGAGAGATTCTACTCTAAATAAATCTGAGATGAAAATCGTAACCTTGGAGGCAGTTCAGTGTGCAGGCCTCTCCCTGCTTCTTGCTGGTGTCCCTGAGGACATGGGCAAGTCTCAGTCTCAGTTGTGTAGTGCAGTGACGCCTGCCTCACTACTGTTCTAACCGACTATGCTGAGAAGGTCTGTGCTCCGTTTGATTTGTGGGCAGATTTAAGTCCAGGAATCCTGTTATGCAACAATGTGGAACTGATCAAATCCCACTAGAGCTAAGTTTTTGCTAAAGCAAATAAGTCACTTCTAGTCCTTTGAATGACCTGTTAAGCTGCGCTGTTCTGGAGAAATGAAGGATTTGTTAACAAAAACACCAGAACATCATAGTGCAACCATGTGAATAAATTTGAGTTAAAAGATAAAAGAGAATTAAGTAATATGAAAAAGATAAAAGTGGATAAAATTAAGTAAAGTAGAAAATTCACCTTGGGCATGTTAAACAGATGTCATAAATGAAACAAAAGGCTTCTTTTCCTTATCTTCTAGTGATCTGTTTTCAAAATCACAAGGCATGAAAACCATAGCTACAAGTTTAAATAGAGACTATATTTGTTTAACTTACATGAAATCTATTCTGAGAATCAGGAGGCTACATATAGATCATATATATATATATATATATATTTTTTTTTTTTTTCTTTTGTGGTGGCACTGGGGTTTGAACTCTGGGCCTCATGCTTATTAGGCAGGCTCTTACTGTTTGAGCCACTCCTCTAGCCCCAGGTTGTACTTTTTTATTGAAACTGGTTTGTGAGCCTTTTTTACCTATACCTTAGTAAGGGAGTATTACGATTTGAAGAAGAAATGTCACCCACTGGCTCGTGTGTTGAATTCTGGTGGAGCTATTTTGGGAGGTGGTAGAGACTTTAGGAGGCTGGCCTACCTGGAGGAAGTAGGTCACTGGGGGGGGGGAGTGTTCTTGGACTTTCTCTCTCTCTCTCTGTCTTTGTCTTTCTCTCTCTGCTTCCTGTCCCTAAGAGATGAGCAGCCTCTGCTACAGGCTCCTGCTGCCATGATGTTCTGTCTCACTAGGGACCCAGAACCAAGAGAGGCAAGGACCACAGACATTCATTCATGAAACCATGAGCCCAAATAAATATTTCTTCTAAGATATTTCTCTCAGGTATTTTGTCATAGCAACACTAAAGTAACTGACATGGAGTTTTCTCCCTGGGTCTGATGTTGTTTCACAAAAAGTTATAAATTGCTGTGGTTACCTACAAAGATGCCAACATGCATGGCCACTAAACACTTAATTCTTTGAAATCTTTTCCATTTTAGATCTGGTCATTCAGTATATCTACTTGTCATGTCAGGCCAAGTGATGGGAACCTAAAATTCTATAGATATTTTGGTGCAAATTGTAGAAAACTGAAGTCTTAAAGAAAGACATTCCCTGGGCATGGCAGACAAAACATTCCATCAGCTCTTCTTGCTGAGAACGCCTTGGGAACACTCCAGTAATGCACAGGAGTTCGCGTTAGTCAGTCCTAATCTACAGCGGACCTGCTGGAAAAGGACTCCAGAGGCTCACTGATGGGCATCCAAAACAACCCCACTTCGTGCAGTCATGGCCAGCGTGCAGCTGCGGTGTAAGGAGCAGGGCACTGGGTGGCGAGGTGGCCCTGGACTTAAGGCTGAAAGATCTAGGTTCAAGACTGTTGGGGAACCTCTGTGAGTCTGAGTTTCTCCACTGATCAGAAAGATTTCCTGAAATCTCCATAGAATTGTTTCAAAATTAAATAAATGTAAGGTATGATACATTTGTTCATGTAAACATGGGGGAAATTGTGCATTCACTGGAAATTGTTAGTGGAGAGAGCAGGCTTTGATAAGGAGTTTAGATTTGTTCTATTGTTGTGGATTGCCATTGAAGGTCACAGCCGGGGACTAACATGATCTAGCTCTATCTTAAAACAGTAAACATTTTAGGCTGTGCAGGCCAGCTGCTCTGCATTAGTCCATTTGTGTTACTGAAACAAAATACCTAAGGCAGGGTAACTTTATTAAGAGAAGAGATTTATTTAGCTCACAGTTTCAGAGGTTCAAGGGCATGACACTGGCATTGGCTCAGGTCTGGGGAGTGTCCTCTTGGCTGCATTGCATCGTATGAAAGCTCCTGTTTGTAGAAGGAACTACATCTCAAAACAGGAGGCAAGGGAAAGATGGGTCCTACAGTCCCTTCCAGGAACACAGAAAACACTTGAATATTGGGGGAGAAACCACATTCAAACCATAGTAGCTCACTGTAACTACTTGATACTGCCACAGTAGCAGGAAAACTGCAGAGACTAGAGGGAAGGGGGTGGATGAAGGGCTCATATAACAGTCCAGGCAAGGGACAGGACCCACTTGGCCTGGGAAAATGGCTGCATAGATGCAATGCGCAGACCTGACAGTGAGTTCTGGAGATAGAGCACTTGCTAATGGTGAGACACGTAGTCCAGGACAAGGGACCGATCAAGGTGCCTCCTTGGATGTAGGTGGGTGGAAACTCCATGTGTGGCCATGGAAAAGACAGGAGAAGAAGCTGAGGGGCTAAGGGAGAGACTCAGGAGTCTATGCTAGACCCTAAAGTCTGCAGTGTCCACCAGAGCTCCAACTGTGGCATCAAGGAGGCGGGTGGATGTATGTGTTTGAAATTCAAGGTAACAGCTGATGCACAGAGCAAAAACGTCAATTTGTCAGAGTGCATGGCATGCGGCTTGCGGTGCTGTGCTATACTGAAGTAGCAAAAAAGTGATGGTTGGTAATTCTTGAGCCTAATCAAGAGGTTATTACTATTTTTAGAATATTTTGTTCTTTTGCTCAATTATCTATATCTGATGAGAGTTTCTATTTATTTGTAACAGGGGTCAGCAAATTCAGACACATGGGTGAAACCCAACCCACTGCTCACTTTTGGTGTGGCCCAAATACTAAAAATGATTTTGTACATTAAACTCTTGGAGTTGGGTGCCGGTAGCTCACATCTGTAATCCTAGCCTGGGCAAATAGTTCACAAGACCCTATCAAAAAAACCCATCACAAAAAAGGGCTGGTGGAGTGACTCAAGTGGTAAGAGCTCTCCCTACCCAGTATGAGGCCCTGAGTTCAAACCCCAGTGCTGCCAAAAAAAAAAAAAGTGTTGGCAAGAAATCAAAAGAAGAATAATACTCTGTGACATAACATTTTTACAAAATTCAAATATATAATTGTCTATAAATAAATTTTCACTGGAACACAATCACACATATTTGTGTATGTGACACCTGTGGCTGCTTCTGCATAGTCCACACATACTTGAGAGGTTGTAAAAGAGAACACAGGGCCCTGGAAGGCAGTGTACTCTCTTGTCTTTCTAGGAAACACTTGTCTGCCTTTGATCTATCACGAGGGTCCTGCTTAGTGTATCTGAACGGCAGTATGAAGTTCTGTCAATAATGTTCTCTTACAAAAATGGTCTGCTCTCAAAAATTGGTTTTCATAAAGACCAAAAATTCAATTAAGATTAGAAATAAAACCAAAGGACTGAACTTAAGGTTCCTTTGAGGATGCATTCGGCATTTTCATATTAACAGGAAGACTTACTGGCAATTAACAAACCCCGAAAGTAGTAAAGAAGAGGGACGAAAGGGAAATAATGTGCACAAAGGTTTTGTGTATGAGAAACTTAGATAGCGTTCAGACAATCAAATTACGTACAGCCTGAAAGTCTTAAATAGTATGGTAGGTCTCCATGTCATGTCATTTATAATAGGATCATCCTCCCAGGATGGAACCATCTAATGGACACCAGGCAAAGTCTGAGGAGCCAGTGCTATTATCCACCAAGAATCATCAAGAATCTTCCATGGGGAGAAGTAGGAATTATGGATAATAGAGACAAAATTTGCCCAGAGAGACATACAAAAAGAAGGGAAAGCTAGATATTTATGAATACACTTTTTTGTCCTTAATTTGGAGGGCTTTTTTTTGGGGGGGGGGAGCTATTCATTTACTTGGTGGTGCTGGGATTTGAACTCAAAGCTTCAGGATTGCTAGACAGAGGCTCTACCTCTTGGGCCACACCTCTACCCTATTTTCTTTAATTTGCATATGTGTTTACACATTTCACAACCCATCTACCTTGAGCGTTCAGCCAGCGCATATTTGCCAGGGCTGACATCTGTAAGACTTGTGCCCAGCACAAATAGAATGGGGAAAGGAGCCTGCAGAATGAAGCAGACTAGAGAATGTCTTCCTGCAGGATGGGTCAGACCCAGCCCTTGATTGTGATCAAACAAGAGGGCCTTAACCACAAGACTTTCTTTAGTTCCAGCCGTAATGATAGAAGCATCATTACAAATATTATTTCTGAAAGACAGCCCAAATAAAAATGAATGCGAACATTATATAAGAAACATTATATAATGTTTAAGAAATATAGCATGATTTTTTAAATATAGTATCAACATGATGACTGCAGTACTTTCATCATACCCACAAAATTAATAATGACTCATTAGTGTAATCAAATATCTAAGCATATCGCATTCTTTCTGAGAAGTCTCTTTTTTAATCTTCTCTGGCCCTCCATCTTTTCTTGCACATACCAATTTGTGGAAGAAACTTGAGCTTTGCCTCTGACAACAGATTTGTTTGTCACTTCCTTGTGGTTCTAATTTCTTTCTCTATTCTCTACATTCCTGTAGACTAGATGTTAGATACAAGACCCTGAGTGGATTTGGGGTCAGCAGTTTGACAAGATGACTTGCTGGGTGGCACTTGCTGGTCCTGCTTTATTGTATCAGAGGGACACAATGTCTGTGTGATCAGCTCACTTTTCTTAGGCACACAGCTTTTCCTTTAAGAGCTTGATGGGTCAGTTCCACATTTACAGAGTGACCAGTAGGTCCAAGGTATCTGGGCACACCTGCAAAGACTTTTTTTTAGCAGTTCTAGGGTTTGAATTTAGGACTTTGAGCTTCCAAGGCAGATGCTGTATCACACCTTTCAGTCCATTTTGCTCTGGTTATTTCAGAGATAGGGTCTCTTTTTTTCCCCCAGGCCTACTTGGACCATAACCCTTCTATTTTATGCTTTCTCCTGTAGTTGTGATGACCAGTGTGCACCACCATGCCCAGATTTTTTTCCATTGAGATGAGCACTTGAAAACTTTTGCCTGGGTTAGTCTGGAACCACAATCCTCCTAACCTCAGCCTCCTCCATATCTTGGGATGACAAGTGTAAGCCACTATATCCAGCTGTAGGTGGAGATGGGGTCTTGCCAACTCCCTTCCCTGGCTGGCCTTGGACCACAATCTCAGCCTCACAAGTGGCTAAGATTACAGATGTGAGTTAATGATGCTGATGCCCTGCAAAGATCTTCACATGGCCCTTCTAGGCTAGTCCTTGGAACTCTGCCTCTCAGCAGGTCTGGGATGCCTTCTTGATGCTGTGGGGCTGGATCCCACATCCTCCTTCCGTACTCCCCAAAGCTACTGCTCCTCTCCCCCTTTCTGTTGCTTCCCCGATGACCTGGGGGATGTCAATGATAATGAAGATGATGGTGTGGTTGCTTTTCCCCTCTGCATTGATAATGAGGAGAACATTCTGGGCAAGGACGCTGCACCACCTTCAGAAAAGCATCTGAGAATAGCAGATGTCGCCGAGTCCCTTGCCTGGTAGGGGGTATGCCCAGGGTAGCTCGGACCTTATACCGCAACCAGGGAGCCCAAAGGGGCTTTCTCCTGTGCATTCTGGGAGGCCATGTCCATATAGCACCCCAGCTTCCTGTTCAGCACTCCATCACTCTGTCATCACTCCCAGCTCTTTAATAGAAGTGTGCATTTGTGGCAGATTTAGATTTGCATCAATTTTCAATTCACATTCTTCAGGTTATATTGAAGCATGCATAATGCATAATACCCTGTGGGCTCTAGATTTACTTAGGTTTCAAAACCAGAGATAGAAATGAAATATGCACGCGATTGAGCACAGCAAGGGCTTATGTGGCATTAATTGGTCATATTCATGGCCTTCTCTATTAAATAAAACCTGAAATGTGATTAGGTAAGCTTTATGCATTGCTCTCTCCAGAGACAGTTGGAACCCACTTCTCAGCCAGCGAAGGTAGGAGAGACTATAAATGCCATCATTGTATAGGCCAGGCAGCACTTCAGGTGCTTGTCACCAAGGAAAGAGCTTGCATTCCTAATCTTTGCACTGACTTGCATCTCTGAAGGGAAATGTTGAAATGCTATGTGCCATGACTGTCACGATCACCTGCGTCTCTCACTGTACCCTCTCACCATGTTCAGGGAAAGTATTTCAGTACAACATTTTTTTCAAATACCCACATTAAAATGTCTGCTAAATATTAGGAATTGTACCTTGTTCTGGGCTCAAAGTGGCATTTTCTCCATGAGCTGGCTGCTCCCCCACAAAAGTGACCATGTGGATAGTGCTGTGGGATACTTCACATGTCTATGTGTGTGCCGCTTATGCTTGTCACACCTCTCCCTAGCCGGCACGTCACATTTGCTATTCCCCACTGTGTGCCACTTATGCTTGTAACAGCTCCTCCTAACCGGCACACCACATTTGCTATTCTCCACTGTCTTTTTTGTCTCCTCCTTCCTCGTGTATTTTTTCCTTCTTTTTTCTGGTGTGGTTCAGATTAAAGCACAGAATCTATTTCTAATTGGGGAATCAAAAGGAGGAGTGGCTCAGCCCACAGCAGCTCAGAGACAGCAGGTAACGTATGTAAGGTCACCAAGTTGATGGCAGAAGTGAACTTGTATCCTGTGCTCCTGTCCTCATTGCTGCTGGCTCCAGTCCATTCTGCTTCCTTTAAAGTAAATTAAAATACAGGCATTCTGTTTGTTTGTTTTGATGGTATGGAGTTTGAATGCAGGGTGTTGCGCTAGCTAGGAAGGCACTCTACCACTTGAATCATGCACCCATGATTTATTTATTTTTTGAATAGGCTCTTGTGTTTATGCTCAGTCTGGCCTGGACCACCCTGCATAGCTGGGATGGCAGGCAAATGTCACAACACCCAGCTTTTTGTTGGTTGAGATGGAGTTTCTTGGACTTTTTGCCTGGGATGTCCTTGAACCACGATCCCCCTGATCTCTGCCTCCTGAGTAGCTAGAATTACAGGCATGAGCCACCATGCTAGGAAAATATAGATATTTTTAAACCATTTTATTGCTACTTAGGAGGTAGAGATTGGGAGGATGGAGTGTACAGGCCAGCACAGGTAAAAAGTTAGCTAGACCCCATCTCAAACAAGCCGGGCATGGTGGTACATGTCCCAACTATACAGGAGACCATAGGTAGGAAAATCACAGTCTGAAGCCAACCCTGGGCAAAAACTCAAGAACTTACTCAAAAAATAACTAAAGCAAAAAAGGGCTGGGGGGTGTGTGTCAGACCCCTGGTCTAGCAGGCAGGAGGCCCTGAGTTCAAACCCCACTACCAAACAAAAAGCCCCAAACCATTCTATTGACATAAGATCCAGATTCCACAAAATACACCCATTTAAAGCATACACTTCAACAGCTTTGAGTGTGTTCACAGAGCTGTGTGACCATCACTATAACCCATTTTAGAAACCCAGCACCTCTTAGCATCACCTGCCAAGTCTCTTTTTTCTTGCAGCCTGGATGTTCCACATAGATGGGCTTAGATAATATGTAGCCTTTACTAACTGGTTCTTTCACTTAGTATAATGTTACCCAGTTCAGCCATGTTGTAGCACGTAATGACAGCATTTTAGAAGGAGAAGGAAAATTTGATGATCATCTTGCCCCTCCGATTTCCAGACTGGAAAACTCAGGCCCAGGAGATGGACTCACTGCCAAGGTCACAAGCCTGACAGTGGAAGGGAGGACAGACCAGATCCTGCTCTACTCACTCACTGGAAGGTTCCTTGTGCTCCCAGCATGGGAGAGTGCTCTGCATGGCACACTGGCAAACTGACGTCCCTCTTCTCTGGCCTTTCCTTTCCCAGCTCTGCAGGGCCATACCTGTCACTACTTGCATGCACTCAGAGGCATTTTGGGTTATTACTTCTAGATTCATGAGTGGTCAGGGTGCTGGATGTCTGAGGTTGGGTAAGTGGGGTTCCTGCCATTTTATTCTCTGCTGGATATAGACACAAAAGTATAGGACCAATTTGTTTACGATCTTAAAACACAATACAAGTTGAGTATTCCTTAACAGAAATGCTTGAGACTGGAAGTGTTTAAGATTTTGGAGAATTTTTCAGAATTTGGAATATTTGCATACATAATGAAATGTTTTGAGTGGGACTCAAATCTAAACATGAAATTCATTTATATTTTGTTTTGGTTTTTTGGTGGGACTGGGGTTTGATCAGGGCTTTGGACTTGCAAAGCAGGCACTCTCCCACCAGAGCCATACCTCCAGTCCACTTTTGCTCTGTTTGTTTTGGGGGTGGAGTTCTCACAAACATTTTGTCTATGCTGGCCTCATGTGTATGCGATCAGCTTTAGTAGATTATGTGAGTGTTCCAAAGTCTGCCAGCAATTTACACTCCCATCAGCAATGCAAGAGTGTTCTGGTTGTGCTGTGTCTTTGCCACTGTTTGGCATTTTCCTCCTTATTTTAGCTGTTGAGGTGTGTGTAGGTGTGCATCTGTGTGTATGCATATATATGCATGCCATTCCTAGGTATTAATAGTTCCAATACTTGCACAAGATCATTATACTATTAGGTTATGAATACTGCTATGAAAATGAAAGTTTTTAAATGTGTAAACAAAATTATATATATATGTATATACAAATATATGTGTCAATAGTACTGGGTTTGAACTCAGACTCGCACTTGCTAGGCAGGTGCTTTACCACTTGAGCCACACCCCCCACCCCTTTTTGCTTTTAGTTATTTTTCAGATAGGCTCTTGCTTTTTCCCAAGACCATCCTGGGGCCACAATCCTACTACCTCTGCCTCCCTGTAGCTGGGATTTTTACAGGCATTAGACACTATGCTGGGCTTGGTTGTTGAGGTGAGATCTCACTAACTTCTTGCTTGGGTTAAGCCTCATACCTCAATTCTCCCAATCTGTACCACCACAGTAGCTGGGATTATAGATGTGTATTTTTGTATTTTTGACCTGGGGATAAAATAGATCAGTTCTTATATTGACAATAAAATTTATTTACTCTAAATCAGAATGGGCAGGTTAATTTATTAGGCAGAAGTGTTATTATATGTTTATATAGCTATGTGCAATTGACTC